CTCTTCATAGGTGTCAAATAATTCACCGACAAACACGCACTTTTTTTACGTTTATTTGTACGCGAATCCTTTTTTACGCCTGTCATTTTTTTTCCGTTGCGTGTTGCATTAACATGCACGTACACACGTTTCTCGTTTCTCGTTCGACGTGCGATTAGTTTCGAATTATTTCTGTAAACGATGCACACGGTTCGCTCGTGCGTAGCGCCAACCATAACCGTAATCAGTAACAATGACGAAATGTCGTCCGACTGAAAATATTAAGCCCGGCTGTAAAATGTTTTACGATTTAATTAGTACGCGTTTTGCATTACGACGTCCCGCCGCAACGAGACGGTTCGTTACGGCGATTAAGAGCCTCGTTTAAGCGACGTTCCTCGTGATCCTGGTTCGCCGCGCGAGCTGATAAACGAAGACGCCTGGGTAATAAGGAACAGCCAGAAGTGGCGGGAGTAGAAGTGGCAGCGGTGAAGGCGCAAAGGGGAAAAAAGTCATTAGAGCAGCGAACGATTAAGCCGTGTTACGTCTTTGACTTCGAACAGATTCTCGTGCACGAGGAATTCTCGTTATGTCATCGACAAATCTATGCGTGCGTTTCGCATCGTATTACGGAGAGTTGACTACGTCCCTTCCCCACCCTCACTCGCTCCCCTCTAACCCATTCGCCATTCGACCGCGATTCCAGCACGCTTCGAACGCGAATCAACTTACGTAAGACGCGAATAGCCGCGGAGATTAATATTCCGCTCGTTCAAGGTGGTAATGTCCGTGAAATAAAGATGATGCACAATCGGCGGACCGAATTATGAGAAGACAAAACTGATTTTTCCGGTTTATTGTGTAAAACATTTCCGAATGGATGTATTAATCCAGTCTGTCTTTCTCTTTCCCTCCTTTCGGCTTCGTTTCGTCTTTATTAAGGAACCGACGGAGGTCACGAATGGCACGCAGCACGTCACCAACACCACCGTATCAGGGGGGGTTCGTTCTTGCAACACGTTGTCAACTGGCGCCATACTACTTGCGGACATATTACCGTCGTTGGCCGTGAAAATTATCACGCCGTTCCTGCCTTTTTACGTACAGTGAGTATCCGTTTGTGCTTCCTACTTTACTTTCCGACTGTATACCATTGGTCGCGTTCCATTCATCGCGACTTTTGCACAAAAATGGCCAGTAAAAGAGCACTGCGGAAAAAAGAGAACAATAGCGACGATAGGTCGATGAAAAAAAATTGTCAGGGAACAAGCCTTTGATTCTTGGATTATTTCAAACGATAGTAGCTTAGATAACACGAAGGTAACAATCACGACATTGTTGCACGGTTTACACAAGATCTGTCGGACGTGGCTTGATGATTAGTCGTGCACCTCGATTATCTTATCGACGATTTTCTTCGTATCGTTTCGGTGATGTTCATTGTTAATATTCGCATGGACTTAGAGAAAATAAAGAAAATAAAGAAAATTAATAAATAAAACACTTAGAGAAAATAAAGAAAGGAGAAACAGAACGATGCCGCGATGATGAATGAATAAATGGTCTCGCGAGACGCGAATACATTACGCATCGAGAATATGGAAACGCAATTCCTTTGAATAAAGGAGCGTAGGTCGACTTCTCGCCTCTGCTTCTTGTCGCACGTATTTTATCTCTGGCATTATCTTCTGCTCTAAACTGTTGACTTTCACTGGGCATGAAAGCCGCTGAAGTACACGCGGTTTTCTCGGGGGACGGATCATCTGCGCAATCGTGTGCCTCCCTCCGCGGACACGTCGCTTTCTTCCCGTGAATGAAATGCTAATCGATTAATCGAATCATTAATTACAGTGCTCGACTGGCTACCTGTGTGTTATTTTCCGCTGCAGGATTCCTCGTGGTGTCGTTGAGCACTACTGAATGGCTCGCCATTTTGGGCGTCGTTGTTACGTCACTCTCTTCCGGTTTGGGAGAAGTTACGCTGCTCAGTTACAGTCACCAGTATCCCAAGTAAGTACCATTGTTCCTTTCTTTGCTATTTTTTTCGTTGTTGGTATTTATTCTATTCTATCTTTTTCTTTTTTTTTAAATTGTTCTTTCTTGATAACAACTGCGATCGTTTCTCTCTATTTGCCTGTTCTATCGACGACCATCACGTACAGACGAGTTTCACGCATGTTTCGCGTGTCTTTGTTACTTTTTCTTTGCGAGAATAACATAGCGTAGAGACAATCGTAGGAATTCGTAGCAGATCGGTCTTATTTTTTTTTTTTTTCTTTAGTCAGAAATGCACGCATTAAACGCATCGTATTTTTTTTCATCTATTCTTAACATACATAGCGTTTCCTTTATCCAACGAACACGATAATAACTGATCGTCTGTGTCTCTCTGATCTTAGCGATGCTCGAGGATCACAGCGTGTGCGTGAGAGAGCAAACGTGAAAGATACAGTTAGAAAAACAAAAAAGTGATAGAACAATGAAAAGTAAGAGTGTGTAGAAAACGAGCTGAAAAGCAGAGAGAGAAAATAGAGAAACAAAGAGAAAAAGAAATACGATGTAAAGTTTTTTGATGCAGGTATCGAGACAGCGGCGCATAAAATCGCAGTTATTGACATTTAGACAGATGTGCAAAGAAAGGTAGAGATAAGATAACGGCCGTCGGCAGGTTGGCCCTCTATAGACAAAAAAAAAAGAAAAAAAAATAAATAAATAAATATAAAACGCTGTTTCTAGAACTGGCACGAAAGTATGATATAATAAAATGAAACTGAAAAGCATAATGTAAAAGTGCGGGATTCTGAAAAAAAAACTCGTTGCGAGCACGAGGTACGTTTGTACTTATGTGTGTAATAACTGTTAATCACCATTCAGTTCTTTCTATCCATCTTCTGTATCTAACTATCTCTGTCTCTTTGTCATTCCTTCTTCACTAACAATTAATCATTCCGTTGCTAAAGTTAAGTCAAAACGAACGCACGAGATACATAACGTGTCCGCTAAACGTGCATTTCAAATGCCTCTGTTAACGTTCGATCGTCCGTGATAAATTTTACCGCAACTTTACTTATATTTTACCGCGTCTTCGATCATTCAGTTTCGTCGTATTTTCTCCTTTTTTTTTCCTTTCTTATTTGTCTTTGTTCTATCCTACATACATACATCGTCGGATCATCATCGGTTCAGATATTACTACTTTCCACAGCTGTATGTCGAATTACCCCAGTTTAACCTTTGCCATTGCCTCATAATTGAGAACGATTCATTGTTTCGCAGACAAGTAATCGCGACATGGTCTTCCGGCACTGGAGGCGCCGGAATAATTGGCGCGCTATCCTATGCCTCCCTCACCACGTGGTTGAGCAACGAAGACACGTTGTTAGTTATGTTAATCGTACCGATCATACAAGGAATCACTTTCTGGTTGGTTCTGGTTCACCCGCCGCAGTCCAGTATCCCGATTACTAAGAACGGTATCGATAGCCGAGAGCACATCATCGAGGTCCCTAGGAAGAGCTTTAAAGAAAAGATCAATCTGGTACCGGGATTGCTGAAGTATATGATTCCGCTCGGGCTGGTGTATCTCTTCGAATATTTCATTAACCAAGGATTGGTAATGCCTTTTCGTTACATCGAGCTTTCGTAAAATTGTCTTTGCCTCCCTTTTTTTTCTTTTGCTTTTGTTACACACATATATATATATATTTTTCTTTCTGTCTTTTGCATATATATATATATATATTTTGTAAGATTATCGAGTCTTGTTGCTATCGAGCCTTCATTTAAATGTAAATATACACACCACTTGAACATAAATTTCGGTGTTCTTATCGGCACGTGCGCAACGCTAATTTTTCAGTACGAGCTGATCGAATTCGACGACATTTGGCTGTCGCATGCCGAGCAGTACCGCTGGCTCCAGGTGGATTATCAAATCGGCGTATTTATCTCAAGATCGTCCGTCAATCTCGTCGCGATTAATAAAATCTGGATCATGGCCGTGTTGCAGGTAACACGATCAATCACAAACGCTGTTTGCTCGGGAACGTACGAAGCTGTTGACTTCGCCGCTACTGTAATACACACACGATTTATGCCAATCTCGTGTTCGTTTCAGTTTCTCAACGTTGTGGTACTTCTGTTCGAAACGCTTTTCTACTATCTACCCAGCATTTGGATCGTGTTCGCGTTCGTCTTGTGGGAAGGACTACTCGGTGGCGGAGCGTACGTGAACACCTTCTATCGAATGTCCACCGAGGTAACGTAACTTCACTTATTTCGCAATTATGCTTCGTAATCTTTGCTCGTTTAAAAATAGTTGATAATCACGTCAATTTCTTCGAATATCATTAAAAAGTGAAACGTCAACGTGTTTCCTCTGTCTTGTCAATTCGCAGATTCCAAGGGCGGATCGTAAAATATCGTTGGGGATTGCCACGATGGCCGATTCGATCGGAATCGCGATGGCAGGATGGCTGTCTATGCCGGTTCACAACGCCATTTGTAGATTGCCGCAGCCGTCTCGAGTGGGAAGCTAGGAGACGCAAAAGAGATACACAAGATAGTATTTAATAACGATCATGCGGATAAGCAGGATCACATACGTTATTTATTACCGAATCTTCTTTGACACGTCCTTTGTGCACTGCTCGTGCGCCGTTATAGTTTCCAGCCACCATACTGTTAGCAAAACGCGATTAATGAATTGCGATGGACAAGCTTGATACCTCGTAATACAATAACACCGCAGAAGTATTCGATACTTGTATTGCCGGTATTTGTCGTTTGATCTTCCGTCGGACGATGCTCGAAGGGTGAACCACGATTCACATGGGAGCGTTATCGATACCGATGTTCCCGAATGAGAAACGAAAAAGAAATTCAACTCGCTAGTTTGTAAGTTCGATCGTTCTGAGATTTATTTGATACAAATATTTAAAAGACTAGGAACAGGATTGTTATACAACTGGTTGGTTTTTGTTTCGCTTCCTTTTTTTTTTTTTTTT